GGGACCTGCGGGAGGCGAGGGGAGGCCCTGCCGTGCCCCTCTGAAGCCATTCGGACCAGGCAAAGGGACTGCATACTTGTCCCAGGGCTTTCCCAGTCCGTCTTTGCCCACCGAAGGGGATGGAGCGGGGAGGGGAAGTTGTGGATCCCTGTGGGGTGGTGGCGGAGGGGCAGCGAGGGTCCCATTCCCCAAGCCCAGCCTGGCAGTGGGCATCCAGCCCCAGCCTGGGGGAAGGCAGTGCAGGAGGAGGTGGGCGCAGCTGCATTTCGTCTCACAAAGGGCTGTAAATATCCTCAAGAAACCCCGAGCTGTAGCTTCTCCCTGCTGTGTTTAAATACCCTGTCCTCATCTGACATCTTTCCACCAGCCCAATTTGGCTGATGTCTCATTTAAGTGATTTATATAACAGGTGCCTGTTTGCACCGCAGTCCTTGCTCTGCTGTTGGGAATGCTTGTGAGAGCCAATTTGACTGAAAAGCTGGAATAAACTCAGGTAAAGATGAGAGATGGGAATCTGGAAGTAAAACTGGACCCACAGTATTCCCTCAGAGCCTACAGGGCAGCAGTACAGGTAAACGATGTCACCATGCAAAGCAACCGTTCAAGGACACCTTTAAGGTACCAGAGAATCCCTTCAGAACTCCCTGACAGATAAGGTTACACATCCTGCAGCGATCCAGCTCCATTTCTGGCAAGAAAACAGCATCAGCTCCATTGCAGGTGCTCTAACATTTTGGGACAGGAGAACTGACAGACACACAGAAGCAGAGCCCTTCCCCACGGAACGGCAGCTGAAAGTACACATGGCTGCTGCATTTTTCTGCAGTCTGTTCCCCAGGACTGCCAATCATGCCATTTCAGGCTGGTTTGGCTGAGATTTTATTGGGAAAGAAGCTGCAAGGTGCACTTCATGCTTTATAAGTGCTGTGTTCCAGCAAAAGGTGGATTTTAAGACAGATGCCAGGAGGCAATTTAGAGGAAGTGTCTGAACAGCCATTAAACAGACCCATGTCTGCATCAAACACACTGGAGTGTAGGGGTAAATAGATGTGCGGTTACTGAGCAATGTAGTTAAACAGCGTAAACAGAAAGAACAAGTATGAATGATGGAGAGAATTAAACTGTGTCAAAGCTTCAAGGTGAATCACTTGTATTGTTCTTTAGGCTGTTGACCTGAAATTGTTCTGAGCATGAGGATGCCTTTGGCCCCTGGGCTGTGGAAGCAAGCAGAGCTGCTTTTCAGAGGTAGCTGGCTGTTTTTGAGCTGATGATGTGTTGAAGCCCAAAGGCTCTGCATCGTGTGCCTAGAGGGAAAGAAGAATATGCACCTCCACTATGCCAAACTGCTTGCGAAATGTGTTAGGAAAGATGAGCAGAGACTGTTGTTTAAGCCAAGGGAGCCAGGGCCCTGCCTACACTTGTTCTGTCCTCTGTTTCTCCAGTGCTGGAGCAGACCTGAGAGCAAACAGGAGGGAATGAGTGCTAGTAGACAACTATGCTGGTAAATAATGATGTGTAGGCTCCACTCAGACTAGCAAGGGGCGATGGGCCGGCGGCAGCATCAGCAGTGTTTTCACACCTGTGGTTCTGCGAGTGTATGTACTCCCTTAGTATGATGATGGGAGGAAGATGCTTGTGTAGGCATAACCCATTTCTACGTGTGTCACGAGTCTCCTCCAGTGTTTGTTCTAAAGGCTATAAAGTCCTGGTGCTACCAACCAGAGGAGTTACATCTTTAGCTCCAGTGGCAGCACCTAATGCTTTTAGTGCTGCAAGTCCCAGATTCATCCCTGGGGGATGGCAGCTGTTACATAAACAAGGCCTGCACAGCATTAAAACTTGCCCTGATTCAAGATCTGAGATTTTCCGTAATCAGCCCTGACTGCAGCAAGAAAAGCATAGCCAGACGAAAGACCCCGCAGCAGCTTCAGAGCCAAGGCCTGCAGCCCACGTGGGCGAGGAAGCAACACCTGACCATTAGTTTTCTCAGAGGTGTACAGTACCTGCTCCCCCACACACTAAAACAAACATCAGCAACGAATTTAAAGCAATGCTTGAAACAAACTGACTTGAGCTATTGGATCTGGTAGTGGAACATCACCAAGCTGACCAGGAAAACCAAGGCTCAGTTTATGGAAGTGATGGTCTTCATTGATCTTAGGACCTGCTTCTGCCTCCTGGGGAATATGGAGCACGTGCTGCCCAGGCAACTTAACTGAGATGAATTTTGGACAGAAAAAAACAGATGTCCTTTCAGGACATCTTCTGAGCTTTAAGAGCATTGCAGTGCTAATTTGGGTTCACAGCACTGCGATTAAGACAGCATCTCAGCCACACAAAACCGTGTTACACACATGCCTGCGAAGCAGAGAGTTACTTGTGTGCTGATGGGATCCAAACTCCTGACAAGCCCAGAAGTCACTGGCTGCACAGGCCGGGTAGGGGAGCAACGGGGTGGTGCAGTCACCGTTTTACTACTGTCAAAAAATTGCAACGAGGCGCTGGGACAAAAAGCTTTTCTCTTTGTCCTGAAGGAAAAGATATCCCCCAAAGCAGCAGCAAGATGTGATTGGACTGATGTCTGTGGGCATATGTGGAATACTGGGAGATGCCTTGGGCTAACAGGAGCGGAGAGGTGTCACTTCAGGCTTGCCACCTACCCGGTGCCTCCTTCCACATTTGTGGGCTCTGCAAGGCTGGCTGGGGAACACAACATGCTTCAGTCAGAGTGGATGGTGCTTGAGGAAGCTTGAGGCTCCACAAATCCCTGTGGAGAGCTGTTATTCCCTGTGTCCCCAAATCTCCTTTCCTATGTACCTCACACACAGAGGACATTTTCTTCTTACCCTTCCCCGCTGGGATGCTTGGTCCCAGCTTGCATTTTTGGCACAAGTTTCCTGGGTTCAGTCCTTCCTGATGAGCAAGCTGACAGTTGTTATACTTGCTGGTGCGTTTTTACTCTCTCACTGATTAGAGCTCTCAGCCATGAAGAAATTAATTGGACGGCTCAAGTAAAAGTCCCATGACCTCAGATTTAGCCTGCAGTGCTG